TTTTTTCTTTTCGTTTCGTACCGTCTCTAGATGAAAAAAGAGCTTCTCGTATAAAGGATCGGAACGATATAACTGGGTCGATCGTCTGCGGCCTTTGTCCATTTCAATGATCGCTTCTTACGTTTCTCGGATAGAAAGCGATCAACGGGGATCGTTCATGCTTCGGGCTAGGTTTAAATTCGGGAGGAGATTGGAAACGGAACGTGAGTCGTTTTTCGTTTCGCGTTTTCTTTTCCTAGCGAAATATAGCGCGAATCCGCACCTAGAGAAACGAAACTAAAGCTTTTTCGTTAGACCCTTATTTTAGATATTTCATTTCTTCTCTTTTTTTTCCTTTAAATAAATTGAAATAAATTAAATAAAGATAATTACATATTAAGAGACAATACAACGCGAGCATACATCGATTATCATAAAATTCTTTGGAAGAAGAGAAAGATAGTATTCGATCGAACATTCTTGATCGAAATGATCTCGAGTCGTTCGATTTCGTTTTTAGGAAAAAAATTGCATTACATGGCTATCCATTGCAATGGGACAAAAGTGGGAAGATTGAGATTGGAGTGGATATATAAGAGAAGGAGAATAGATACTCAACTACCATCCCAATCTCTTATAGAGTTCTAAATCTAGTCGATAAGTTTTGCGGTCTATCGACGAGAGCTCTAACAATTTATTTCGTACATTTTTCGAGTAATTTATATCGCGGCGCAGCGAAGATGTCTCTATGCTTCGCTTTTATGGTCAAGAAAATATTATAATTATAAATGAATTATTAGAAGTCTTGGTAATTGTTTGACAAGCCGTTTGTGACTCGTTTAAATATTTCCGAAAACAATAGTAAGACGTCGAGTTGGGAGTCGTTGCGGAAATCTTTACGGAGAACAAGGAATGGAAGGTGCGAGAAAGTGGAAAGAAACTTTCCGAGGTGGAGACAAAAGTTTTCTTGACTTGAGAGAGAGAGAGAGAGAGAGAGAGAGAGAGAGAGAGAGAGAGAGAGAGAGAGAGAGAGAGAGAGAGAGAGAGAGAGAGAGAGAGAGAGAGAGAAATGTATCGCGTCGTTCGAGGAAACTCGCAAGTTCAAAATTGACAATGGAGTTACCGAATACACCTCGGCGGAAATCACAAGGAGAAGAGGGCGCAGTCAGGCTTGCCAGGCGGCGGTAGACGTTGCGGTAATTCCGGACGCGATCTAACCACGGCACGTTGGTATTACAACCGGGCGTACCAACCACCGTCGTCGGTCCGATATCGCGTCGTCAACGGGAGACCTCGCCGTCGTAGTTGAGACCTCCCTATCCTACAACAGAGTATATACCTGCTATTATCTATATCTCTGTACGTATACACACACGGACAGAGCAGGTGTATATAAGTTGAAGACTGAAGGAGGAAACTGAAAAGGGGGACATATCGAACGTCGCACTTTGGCTCGATTGCCGGCTGCGAATTGAATTAAATTATGATTGGTTGAACAATGTAACAAAGAGGAAGAGAAAGAGATAAGAAGATCGAAATTAACTGTCGAAAGTATAAAGAGAGGGTGAGGAAGAGGAGCTCGACAAAGTTGCCTTATCGAACGATCCACGCAGCTAATATAAATGATATTCTATCGTCTTAGTAACTTTCAATATTACCGGGATGTAAAAAGAGAAGAGAGTACTTAATAAAAAAATAATCACGATGGATCATAGTACGGCACTATTTGCGAGTAAAAGTTTACGAAGCGACATTGCACGTGGTCACAGCTAAGTACGAAATCGCATCTCTTTCTTCTACGTCGTATAACATTTGTTAGCTCTCTCGTTGGTCTTATCGGCTTCATAAAAAAATGCGTTTTTTCGGCATGCGTTTTCGTTCGTTTACAGACGATGCGGACGATGCGCTTTGTTGCGCCCGGGGGTACGATAATTCACCAAAAAAAACCGTGAAACATTTGTTGTCCGAACGGCATTAATTCCAAAACTGTCGGCCGTTTCTGGCAAATCTGCATAAAAGCGTAGCGCAGCACTCGATAATTCGACCGATACACGCGTCCCCGACAGCGTTCCTGATTTTCTATCATGGTGGCCCAACAACTTTACCCTCCTTCTATCGCCTATTATATGCCTTTTGTCGATCTACGTGGTTGACAGTACGCGGTGATTTATCCGTTGTTTCGTTCTAACCCCTTGAGTTTTTCCAACAAATACTACGCGGTTATCTCGTCTCCCAACGAAACAAGACGTTTCGAAGTACGATGATAAATAATCATCGAAAGCTTACTAGAATTCGTCGTTACGCGAACGAATTTTAAAGTTGCTAGGAAAATTTTGTCGCGTTGGTAAAAAAATAAGGCCCCTTTATGAATCGTCGCGACTCGCACATTCGTACGTCGTCGGCGACGGGGCGGTGTTTGCGAGCTTTTGAAAAAAAAACAAAAAAGAAAAAAAAAGAAAAAGTAAAAGAGAAGACGGAAAGGGAAAAAGAAAAGCGACGGTTTCGCGTGACTCGTCGCACGGTGTAGCCCACCACACCGTTCGTTTGTTTTAATTTCCAGCCTTCTAATTAAACCGCGACCACCAAAAAAGGAAAACTACGGAGAAATCTCTCTTCTTTTTTTTTTCTCTCCCTACCATATTCCATGTACGCGAGCTCGCGACGGCCTCGGGAGGGCTAAAAGGGAAAGGAAGGGTCGACGATACGTGCACGCTACAGAAAAAGAATTGTAACGGGTTGTACCTCTCGCTAAATTAACCCGATTGCCTCGTGCTTTTTCGTATGCCGATCGTATAATTAGCAAATTTTTTCCTACCTCAAACGAACGGATAGAATATGCAAAGAAATTCGAAACGAGGCTAATTCTAGAAATGTTTTGGACGAATATCGTGAAGAACGAGATTCGATCCTTCTTCCTTTTCACCCAATCGGAAAATCGTTCGTTCGCTGTTCCTACGCGAATCTTCTTTCCATCTCTTTATCCCCTCCCTCGTTCTCCTCTTTTCCTTCATTTCATTTCAGCTTCCCATTCCGTGCGATGTAGATTGAAAAAGCGGCCACATTATAAATAATTTAAATGCATTGCTTTTTGGGAGGGGGGAGGTGGGAAAAAGAAAAAAGTGGTTGTGGAAACTGAAGCGACAGCACAGACGGTGTACCGTTCGTGTCCGCGGCTTTTTTAAAACGTCCGGTCAAGAAGAAAAAGGACAGGCAGACAGACGGCGAAGGAAAGAGAATAAATGAGGAGGAGAGGTAGACGCGGTCGATAGATTCGCGCTTAACCAATTCACGAAGGATTTTTATGTATTTATTTATCCGTTCGCCGATTTAATATTTTCCCCAACTACTAACACTTTTTTGCCCATTTTCAGAATGAAAAAATCGAAGGTGTCCTTTCGCCGTACTACACAGTGCAATCGACAAAACGAATTTGAAACTTTTACAAAATCGAATCTCTCCCGTGCTGCCGATACCACCTCCATTGGCAGCAATATACTGAGCTTTTTCGTTTTCCTTTATTTTTTCACCGAATCGGCAAATGAGATCAACACATTGCCGATGGCCAGACAGATATATATATATATATATATATATATATCTATCTGTCCCCGTCGCAATTTCGCGTCCTCGAATTTTTCTTGGAATCGCGAACGAACACGCGTATTTTTTCGGTATAATCCGATCAATTTGAAATTCTAATGTGTTCTACGCATATGACGATGTTGAGCGCATATACACACGGATCGTTAGAAAATAGGATGAGAGACGTTGAAATATATAATCGACGATCAGAGTTTCATTTCATCGTCGACGACGACACTCGAACAACGGTCGTTTAATTAGCCCGGCACATAGATGCATAAATGTTTCCTTAACGATTTAGATACGATCGGGAAAGCTATCAAAATGTTGGTCCGCTTGAAGCCAATAAGTAATTCTTTCGTTGGGACAATTCGATTCTCCTCGGGCAACAAAGTTCATTAACGAAGTACCGAGAGCGAAATGACAAACTCGTTATAACTCGTAAATGGTCCTGCTGCTTTCGACGGACGATGAAATTCCATCGACAAAAGCGAACGAACGTTTGCCGACGGAAAATAGCTAGCTGGTAAAATTTTCTGTCGGTTTCTTCGACTATATGAATCTCTCGTCTAGCGCACGTAATAATCACGATCGATGTATCTTCCTCGCGAACGTTGCTCAGGATAGGGACACGTCGCTTTTTTCTCGTGCGCCTCCCTTCTTTCTCGCTCGACGTTCCAAGAGAGATAGGCTGCCCGTTGTTCCCGATACTACCCGATCGTTCTCTTTTCTCGCTCGAAGGTAATAGGATATAGTCGTATATAGATGCCTCCACCGTCGAAACTTTCAGGATTACTACTGTGGAGCCTAATCAGCAAGATTGCCTGCAATTTGCCGTCCTTATCTCGGTACATCCCGTTTCCCGAGCAAACCCCTCCGTACTATTCAGTTCTTTCGGTCGACTTCTGCCCTATCCAGGGAGTCTAGCCTTCCAGAAACGATGGCTCCTCGTGAAAGACCATCTTTACGCGCCAGCGGAGAAGGGCTTTTTCGAAATAATATCTTCTCGTTTCTCGTCTCCTGGCCTCCTCCCGCCCATGTCCATGTCGGATAAAAACCTGATTTCTTTTGCTGTTTGTCTCGAAATGAAATCAGTGTTAGCCAGTTTGGCTTTTGTCTATTTAATTACATTAGACCGGGTTAAATTACGTATCCCTTACGTATCCCCCGTGACGGATAGCGCAAGAGGAAGCGAAGGAGAAGCTAGAAAAAGATGTTGATCGGTCGCGTCGAGTCCTCTCTCTCTTTTTTTTGTCTCATTTCTTTGCCTGTCACGCGTCTCTTGGCGTTGCTTAATCGTTGCTCCCTCTAAGCTAGAAATGGCAAATGAGATGGCAGAGGCAAAGAGAAGGAGTTAGAAAAAAAAAAGTATGCTTACGAGCGTTTAAGCGATTAAGCCAAATAAGTAAATGTAAGTAATAAAATCAAGTTAGACTCACCGGCGTTATTGCTGGCGAAATTTAGATCCTTACCTAAAACAGAAGAAGCAGAAAGACACGTTAGTAATGTATAAAATGGGACCCCGATGATAATCCTCGCAGTATTTTGCATGCATACTTATCATAACGTAACATTGCGTTCAGGCATTGATTTTGGATTATACATATGTACGTGCCGGGAGGATCCGCCAACGGCGGATATGCCAACGGCGAAGAGATAATACTTGACGTAATTAATTAATTCCTGAACGCGGACTACAAATTTACACGTGCCCGAAAGCCGTTGGAAATCGAAGGAGAGAATACTCGAGCCGTCCTAATCTACACGATCTAATGCCCGAAAATTTAAGCGCGCTCTTACGGTCCTATTAAAGCACATCATTTTCTGAAAATCTCTCGTGGTTGTTTACGCAAAATTTGACGTGGCACGTTAACACAAAGTTCCATCATCGATGCCACATAATTATTTTTTATACATATTCCTCCTGACTATCGATCCTCCTAGTTTCTTTTATTTTTCCTCTGCGGCAACGTTGCAACGCAATTTTTACGATCTATTGTATTCGCAAATTATCATCGTTACCTAGAAAATGCGAGCGGTTGCCGTTTGTTTACGTTCTCGTTGAAATTCTTCGGAGAGATATGTAGCTACTACCTACGTCGTCGTTCTCTACCGAAGGAGAAAATTTACATTCTCCGTGGACGATCGCAAGCGTGCAAACGTAATGCAAACATTATGGAATATGTTGTACGATATACAGATGGCATGTGTATATACATGCAAACATGATACGAGTATATATAAAGGGAATAGGTAGATACTTAGCGTGGAAAAGGGATGAGGATGTTGGAGATTGGAATTTGAAGGGAGAACCACGTAAATACGAAGTTATGTGGATGTGTGTTGGATATGCGGAATGGAATGTACGGCAGAAACATGACATACGCGGGCGCGAATATACGTATAGGGATCGTACCTGGTCTTTCCAAGAGAACTTGCGATCTTGAGGGATCATTATCGAGTGAAGTCTATTTATCGAGCGTCGCGGACGCGCGGTATGTATTTGCCTTGCAAGTTATATTCCCACGAGTAACGTACAATGAATAGTTAATCCAAAGAGCCATTTACGATTATCAAGTAACCGTAAATATCCATAAATATGAAAAAAAAATTTTGAGAAATCGATCCTGGCACGAGTCACAAAGATCCGATAACGCCTTGTCAGGAATTGATGGATTTCTTTTCCTCTGGCCTAGGTAGTCCTTTTACATTATTTAGAAGCTCTCTTTTCTCGGAATAGTTGTCCTCGCGGCCATTAACCAACGGAGAAAAGACGAATTTACTGGCGTTCGACGGTGGCACCGACGAATCTCCTACGTTCACGAAAGATTTATCGCGATCCTCTGTCTTTCGACGGTAGATCATTGAGAGAAGAAGCTTTTTAACTGGTAGGGCCGTTCTCCAAGGACGCGGCCTTTTCGTCAAAGGGATTAAATGCGGACGCCTCTGTTGGGACTACAGAGATTAAAGGAACTAGAAAGAGAGAAAGAAAATGTACAATTTTAATAGATAATGTGATGTTTCCTTGGCAAAGGAGAGGAAAAAGATAGCACGGTGCGAGATCTGACATTTTTCAAGACGAAGACCTTTCTCTTGATCTTTCAAAGAACCTGTGTGTGTGTGTGTGTGTGATACGATCCAATATCCAAATAAATCATCAAACTAAGTAAATACATAGAAAGAATGGTTGTCTGTAAGCGTTATCGAAGGAAAATAAATACAAAATCTGGTCGTATTGTATGGAAATGAGCTTGATTAACCTCTCTCTCTCTCTCTAAATTCACTTGGATGGATAAAAATTAATTTCCCGTTAGTTCTGTTGGTTAAAAAAAGAATAAAATGAAAATATGTAAGAAGACGTTTCTTCCTTTTGCAATAGGTAAATGGAATTTCCTCTGAAAACAGTAGGTATCTATTATTTTTTCCCCCCAAAAAATAGATCACCGTTTTAAAAGCGAAATTTGAAACGAAATAGAAACTTTTCTACGACATTCTCTCGTTATCACTGCAATCTTTTGTAAAGCGATCCTAATGTATGTTGGGATCGGACCAATGGATTCTCGCTATTTCGATATACCTTGAAAGCAGTTTTCTTGAGCATTACGGAAACAGAGAGAGAGAGGGGGGGGGGAGAGAGAGAGAGAGAAACTCGCTTTTTATATTTATATACTTGGATGTTACCGTTGTGCGTTTTCGAGAAATAGGGAAGAAGGATACGGTAACGCGTACTCGTGGAAACGAAAATATTTGGATAAAAAATTGCATAGCGAGAAATCGAGCGAAGCAAAGAAGAATTTTGAAAGAGGGTAAAGAAGAAAGCGAGAGAGCGCGCCGAGATTTCGTATTCTTCTCGTGGGTGGTACCGAATCCCATCGTTCGCGCTATATGGACCAGAGAATGAATGGATACCTCGACGCAAGTGGGAGACTGGAATAAAGAGAAGAGGAGACAAGCGAAGAGAGGTAAAAATTATTTCTACGGTCTTCTCCTTTCATTCCGATCTAGGCGAAAGATTTGATAGAGAGAGAGAAAAAAAAGAAAAAAAGAAAGACGAAGCGCGTAGGTGCACGCTAGCATACGCAAGCCACTCCTTTTATCCGCTCCGATAAATCCTCACAACGCGGGTGCAACGCGTCGAAAAGAATTTTCACGGTAAAGCCTCGGATCAACGGATCTTTGTGACGTTACATGGAATGATATTTCAATCTCGCGAGACTCGCACGAAAGTGAACGTTCTCTCCCTCTCTCTCTCTCTCTCTCTCTACTCTTTTTACTATTTACGACCTAATGGACACGCATATCCGGAAGGGATATATGATTCGCGTCCTCTTTTGCCAAGCAAACGCAAGATTTGATTGCATCGATGAAAAAGGAGAAACAAAAATGCACATATTCTCTTAGACATGGAACGACCATAGGAAGAGGTACGAAATAATCTCTGTAGGTGTGTATATCGTGTATTACGCGTACTAGTTTCTAATATTAATAAACGATGCTTCGAAACGAGAAATCATATTTCCAGACGATCGAACGGAGTCGTTACCCCTTTCGAGCTATCCGATTCGAATGCATAGTGGCCGATTAAGAGGAAGCCTTTTTAGTGATATCCATTCAAAAGGCGGAAGTCCAATGGTGCGGAGGAGCTGGTTAGATGGCTGCTAGAGATTTTGGAAAGACCGCAGACTTCCTTAATTCCACGCGCCGTTGGTCGACTAGATTATCCTTCTTCTCTCTCTCTCTCCCTCTTGTACGTGCGCCAAACGTACGAATAGGGCGCGCGCAAATACAGGTAATATATATATATATATATATATATATACACATATATATACATAGAGAGAGAGAGAGAGAGCGAGCGAGAACAGCCATACTACCTATCCCCACACTTCCACGGCTGATTTAAAGCCCCTTAATCTCAGATGCAGAAACAAGCCCCTACGACGAGCGACCGTGGACACGAGCAAGGAAGGCAACGTGCCGTTATTAGAGCCGAATTGAGTTTTGCCATTGGCGAAAAATCCGCCCCTGATAGAGTTGCTTTTCTAATCGAATTTTCGAGCGTAGATTAAAATAATAACGAATAAATTTTCTCCTTGGTGAACTCCCTTCAACATCCGTGGGATAGTTAAAAAATATTCCTCGTGATACTTTGGTAACAACGGAAGAGGAAGAAACGAATATCAACGAGAGAATCGGTTTTTATTCGTGCCTCCTCGACAACGGCCATTATAAAGAGGCAAACTGGAAATTATTGACGTAATATTGGAAAGCGATAAGGTCAGAAGCAAATGAGAATTGGGTGTAGTAACCGTTATTAGAAATGTGCAAGTTGTGCACCGGTTAAAAGTGCAAGGAAAACGTGTCCAAGCTCGAGTCGTCGATGTATACGAAAGATTCAATGAGCCGAAGACACTATGTCGATTGGTTCTTTCGCTCGATTAAAGGCATTAAGACGTTTTCCCACCGTCGAAGAAGGAAGCTATTTTGTGTTTCATTCGGAAAGATCGAATACGATAGGAAACGATAATGATTTTTAATGATTTTCATTAAAGATAGAGAACGGGCTAATGTTGTTCTAGAATGATAAGCCAATAAGAACTTTCTTTCTCCTTCTCTTCATTGCGCAAAGATATTTCGGTAACTCTTGTGGAAGCGCTAATTCCGATATTACGTTCTTTATTTTCACGATCCGAACGGTCCAGCGGTATATGAGAGAGAGAGAGAGAGAGAGCGCGTCTTTATAAAGAGCAAATCTCGTACAAGTTACGAACACGTTCCGTATTGCGTTTCTAGTTTCACCGAGTAATACGCCGAGTGCACCGTGGTAAATTGTTTTTTCATATGATGCTCATGGAAATATGAGACACGACTGCTCGAGAAAGAGAGAAAGATTCTTTTAATACTCTCCAACGTACTAGAAGCCACGTCTGGCTTCTATTACTTTACCGTAACGCTAGAAATGATATTTAATATAATATCTAGTAGAAAAATGAACAAGTTCTCTATCTTGCCTCCCATTATCCTTTTATACTCAACCCTCCAAACGGACCACAGTGGAAGATTAATTAAAATGCCACAAAAGGTTAACCGAAAAAACGTAAACGTAAGCGCGTACGACGACTCTTATTCTTTCCACTTTCATCCTCTAGGCCACCGATTCAGCCTCACTAGCATCCATCCTCTTCTTCTCTCATTTTTATCACCGTTCCGAATCGGATTCTTTCGTTCTCCCAACGGTGGTGGCAGCAGCAGCAGCGAAGGTGGCTTTAGGTTCACATTTTCCGTTTAACGCCTTTTATCTCGGCGACTGCGAGGAGAAAGAGAAAGAGACTGCTTATCCCCGCACGTACTTTATACCCTCATACATTTTTTTTCTTTTACCACGAGTATTCCTTACCGTTCCTTTTTCGCAAGTTGGTTCAGTAAATGGCGAATAATCGTCCGAGTACGGGCCAATCCTTTGTTTCTCGTT